AATATTAAATTTTATGTAACTCTTTGAAATAGTTAAAACTCGTATGTTTATCTGGCCAAAACCATTCAAACATTGATTTTGACGGATTTTTTTATGAAGCCCATCTCTTTTATTTTTTTGTTCTAAATCATACCCGTCAAGATACTAGTAAGTAATCCGACTAGTAGGACTTGCCAACTTGGTCCAGTCTAGTATTGATAGTGCGCTTGGAACATCTAACTCCTTAAAATGTAGTATCCTTTGACTATATCTATTTAATTTTTTTATGAACGTTTGGGAAAAGTTTAAATTGGTCTTATTATGTAGTAGTAACTCTAGGATCTGCACTACATGCTAAGTCACTTAATATGGATTTTTGCATTAGATCTATGATTTTATAGATCTAAAAACAATTATGTGATAGTTGATAAACAGTGTGTTCTTGAGATTCAAAATCTCCTTTTTTTTTTTTCTTTTCTTTTTTTTCCTTGTTCTTTTAACATTTACGATGGATTATGGTGGTCGATAGAGACTTTTCTCATCCCATTGAACATGTTTAGATTGGTTTATTATACCAAAAATTGAACCTTGCCAAATCAAGATGGAGACTTTTCTCTTCCCATTTAATATGTTTAGATTGGTTTATTACACCAAAAATGAACCATGCCCAAATCAAGAATTTTCTCATCGCATTTAACATGTTTAGAGAGACTTGCCGTCCACTATTAAATAGTTGGAGAGAGAGATGGAAGTGTGACCAATCACGCTTAATAAATGTAAAAAATTTAGGGAAAATTATAGATATCCTGCAAATTCAATTTTTAGACATCCTAACCCTCAAAATTTTTTGTATTTCATCCTAAACCCCAAAATTTTTTGTATCTCATCTTAAACCCCAATACTATTTTTCTTTATATTTACCTCTAAGTAAAAAAGTCAATGTATTTAGGACAAGAATGGGTTTACTTTTTCTCTTCTCCTCTATTTTTGAGAGTCACGTGACTCTCCGCCCAAACTCTCTCTCCTAAAGTAAAAATCCATTCTCTCTTTCTCTCTCTATCATTCTCTCTCTCTCACACACACATACACACACACACATTTTTCTGGTACTGCGGTTCGGCACCAGTGAAATTTTTTTGCAATTCGGCACAAAAACTTACCGAACTACGAAAAAAATATTAGTCTAGCACCCAGTGTGTTGCCCCGAATTTTTTTTGCGGTCCGGCACAAAGTATGTCGAACCATATTACCAGCCTTAACTCAAATTATAACCGGTTCGACCCACTGGGTGTCGGACCACAAAAGTCTTAGTCCAGAGCTAGAGAGAGAAAAAGAGAGGGCGAGTAGAGAGAGAAAGAGATAGAGAATGAGAGGAAGAGAGAGAAAGGATTTTTATTTTGAGAGAGAAAGAGTGTGGGCAGAGAGAGTCGGGTTTCCAAAATAGAGGAGAAGAGAGAGTAAGGGTATTTTTTGTCCTAAATCCATTGACTTGTATTAGGTTTATGGTGGAATACAAAAAGTTTTGGAGATTAGGATGTCTAGAAAGTTGAATTTGGGGTATTAATAATTTACTCAAAAATTTATGTTCTCGCGAGAACATACTTTCCATTTACTCACTTGAGCAAAATTCAGCTAGAATTTAAGCTCACAAATTTTGGGATGTATACCTCTTAATAGTAGTGACTAACATCAAATAAATAGATAAAATAAAATTGCACTCTCCAAATAATGTCCTCAGAACAAAAATCATCCAATACTTGAAAGGCAAATCTAAGTGTTGAAGAATGCAAGTTCCCTTCTTTTCTGGATATAATCACCCACTAACTCTTAGATGAATCCAAATATTTCAAGAAAAAAAGGGAAAAAAATAAGAAGAAGATGGGATTGTATATTATGTGACTATTTATTTTTGGTACAAAAGTGGTCACAATTATTTTTAGCCATTGAATGTGAAATTTAATATATTTAGTATCACAATATTCACAAAATTTTATTTTGGACTTTGTACCAATCAATAATACATCTAACCACCCAATTTCACATATAACAGTCAATAATGATTGAGACAATCTTATATAAACAATAAATAGTCTCATTGTATACGTTTCATAAAAAAAAATGAGAACTCCCAATCAATATTTTCCCAAAGAGGAAGGTATAATATTTACTCCTAGAGGAGCATGCTATACAAACAATAGGTAGTGTGTAGACATCCCCTCTAAATTTATGAATTCTAAAACCCTTAACTCACATTGTCCCAAGATAGCTTAGGACATAAAACCATAGCACATATCTAGACCATAAAATAGAACTTAGAATATTCTTAAATATTCCTACAATATTCACAAACAGCCATTTTAGGTGAAAATAATCCCAAATAGATACGCCCGAGTGGGAAGAAGAGAAAAAATATTCAAATATACACCAAATCAGGATTTTTTTAGGATTAATTATCAAGAAACACGATGGGGAAACCACGGAGAAAACCACGCAAATGGGCTTCAGATGGCCACCACATATATGGGCCTCGGACGGCCCTAGCAATGTGGAGTTCATTGCTAGGCCCATCCATTCGGCCCAGAGACGAACCTCAATTAGTTGACACGTGCATTTTGGTCGTTTTTAGTTAGGAATCCCATATTATATGGGATTACCATTGATATTGATATTGATAAGTTTCCTATGTCAGTTGGCATACTCATTGAAATTCAACAAGATTAGGATTCTTAGTTATATCTTAAATTTGAGATATAAGTAACATCTATGAGATTCCTATCTAGTAAGTGATTGATAACCTTATATATATGGAATGAGAGAAAAATAATTTGTGCGCCCAATTTAAGTTGCCATATGAGAAATATGGACTTCCTTCTAAAGAGAAGCAAGGGTCTTCTGCATAGAGAAATAGGAGCCTCTAAAAGAACCTCTAGAGAGATAAGCGAGCTTCTAGTAAAAGAAACGGTGTGTTTGTGCCTTTGCATGGAGAGAGATAAAGATGCGTATTTATTTTAGAGAAGTTGTTCCTGCAGAGATCGTGGATAGCCCTTTGTAGAAGTTGCATCTTTGCCTGGTACATTTAGTAATAGTTATTAAAAGCAAAGAGAAGGAAGAATGACAAGTGATGTTAGCCGGGAGAGTGGTCTCAAGGGTTTTTCGAGTGGATATTATTGATGGATAAGATACCATTTGTGACCCAAAATCTGGGATGTAACACTTATCGGTATAATGGGTTTGAGTTTTTCATGTCATGGATATAGCCTTTTGGGGTGAACTACATAAATATTTGTATTTTTATGGTGTGTATATTTTTTATATTCTATTTCTCATATTACAGTTTGTACTTATTTATATTGTTTCTAGCCAATTAAGTATACAATCTTAGTAGTCCCAACTTTTGGGGTTCCTCTTTCTGCATCTAAGATGATTCTTAATTCATAACAAGTGGCATTAGAACCCATATTTTCAAAACACATGGAAAAATTTGTGAGTATTTTTGTTTTGAGGTGGAGAAATATGACGGCAAAAATAAGAATTCATAAAGCAATCCAATAAATGTTGGCATGGAAAGCAGGTGACTTTGATATCAAGGTATGATTGTTGGTTATGATATATAAAAAATCGTCCCCCAAAAAAAATTCCATATTATATGGGGTTGATATTGATATTGATAAGTTTTTTAAGTTAGCTAACATACTTATTAAAGTCCAACTAAATTAGAATTCTAGGTCATAACTTAAGTTTGAGATATATATGACATTTATGGGATTCCTATCTGGCATGGGAATGATAAATTTATATATGAAAGGAGAGGAGAAATAATTTTTGTGCACTATTTGAGTCACCTAATGGAAGAGATAGACTTCCCTTTAGAGTGAGGCGATGACATCCTATATAAAGAGGGAGGAGCCCATGATAGAACTTCTAGAGAGAGAAATGAGATTCTAGTGAGAGAAAACACTTGTTTATACCTTGTATGGTGAGAGAGACGCTTGTGTCTTGCATAAAAGTTATTTCTATAGCGATTTTTTGTGGTATCCTTTTTATAAAGGGAAATTAGGTTCTCATTACTCTCGTATCTCTATTTGATTTGTTTAATAATAGTTTCTAAAAGCATAGAGAAAGAAGAACAACATGTGATGTTGGTCGAGAGAGTGGTTTCAAAGGTTGCTCGATCGAGTATTGTCCAGGTCATTAAATATCTTTTATGTCCCAAAATTAGTGATGTAATTGTTATCGGTGCAATAGATTTTAATTTGTCTATGAATGTAACTCTTTAGGATAAACCACGTGAATCTTTGTACTCTTGTAGTAAGTGTGTTTTTATACTTTATTTTATAATATAACTTGTACTCGCCTATTTTGTTTTGTTTGTAGCTTAGTTAACTACATGATCCCGGTGGTACCCAACTTTGAGGTTCCTATTTTTTTTGTCGAATCTACCTCTAATGCTTTTAATTTTTTTCAATTTGAACACAATCTTAGACAAATAAGATTTCGACATAATTTACCTCTAATGATTTCAAAATTTTTAAATTTGAACACAATCTTAGACAAATCAAATTTCAGATAGTTGGTTTAGTCTCAAAATCACATAAAAATAGTGTTGCTTTCCTTGTGTTGTTTTTTTAAGGAGCTAGGGTGAGTTGGGTTATGCTTGGAGTTTGGAGTGGTTAGGTAAGTGGGTGGGCATTGGGTTGTTGGGAAAACGGGGCGGGTGTTGTGATCCTCAACCGAGAGACGTCCACGTCACAAAAGATTGCGCCTCCAACTTCCCTTTGGAAACGCCAAAAAATCCCCACCCTACTTTCCCTAAATGGTGCCTTACATGTCCACCTTTCTAAAACAATTACCACAAAAGAAACCTCTCTCTCTCTCTCTCTCTCTCTCTCTCTCTCTCTCTCTCTCTACTACTACTCTCTCTCTCTACTCTACTACTACTACTACTACTCTCGTACTCGTCGTCGTCGTCGTCGTACGTCGTCGTACGTCGTCGTACGT